GGGTTTCTGAACACATGTATTCTTGTTCTTTGGTTTCCCATAGTTTTTCTACAAACATCACCATACACATCTATCCTCAATTTCTGTTGTTTTTTTCCTTTGTTTTAAAATCTAAAACAAAAAAATGCCATTGGTGTAAAAATGACACACTTACTAAAATATATTTGTATTGGACTGAAGGCAAAAATTACTCTTCGAACTGTAAAGTTTGCAGAAAAAGCTTGTGAGAAAACGTGAAGTAGTCCAAATTTGAATTGTTTTGCTGGCCGCTGTACAGATGGATGCATCTGAACTAATTTGTAACCAGAGATACAAAACTGGATAAACTGAAGTTATCTGTCAGGAACAAAGTGTCTTGAACAAAGTGTCTAATCCAAGTAAGTCAGACACATCACACTCCAAGGTGCACCTTCAGTCCAGTTATGTGTTTTAAATGGCAAACTCAGGTCAGTACACCCCATAAATAATTAATTCAGTCAATTATTTTCTAGACTCACTTTCTCTTGTTCAGATTCATACATGGGCGTAAATCCCGGGGGGCGGGGAAGGGGTCTGGAACCCCCCAATCTTGGAAAAGTCTATAATTTTCCATTCCCCACCCCAAAAAATCATTTAAATAACACATGACTTGTATTGAGAATCATTGTGATAAATCAATATTTATGAGGAATTTTATTAAGTAGAGTTACTTATTAAAACTTGTTTTTATTTAGAGCCTTAATGTCCTCATGTCCAATATTTAAAAAATCAAGTAATGTAAGTAAATAACCAAAGTGGAAGAAAATACTCTTTTGCAACATATTATTTTAAATTATTCCCACTTAAAATTGTTGTTATCTTTGCTCTTTATGAAAACCATTAAGGCCAAACTACGGTTTGAAAGGAAGAACACGGGCAAAGATTGGAATCTGTGGAAAAACAACCTTTAGACAGATGAATTTACCTTTTAATTTGGGCAGAAGAACAGAAGACATATTTATGACAAACCAAATACAGCCTTGCAGGAATGAACTTTACTCCATCTGTAAGGCACAGACTTGGAGGTGCCATGGAGGTTTGAGGATCTTTTCTGTAGCAGTACCTGGTCAGCTCCAAGGATTGTAGCTTATCAAAAAGTGTTTGAGGAAAATGTGAGATGATCTGTAAAAAAAAAAAAAAAAAAAAAAAAAAAAAAAAAAAAAAAAATTTAAAAAAAAAAAAAACCC